AACATGATCAGCACCAAAGCTCCATGGGTGTTAGAATCATTACTATGTAATCTAGATTATTGACTCTAGTGCAAGTGGGAGACTGAAGGAAATATGCCCTAGAGGCAATAATAAAGTTATTATTTATTTCCTTATTTCATGATAAATGTTTATTATTCATGCTAGACTTGTATTAACCGGAAACTTAGTGCATGTGTGAATACATAGACAAAACATATTGTCCCTAGTATGCCTCTACTTGACTAGCTCGTTTATCGAAGATAGTTATGTTTCTTAAACCATAGACATGAGTTGTCATTTGATGAACGAGATCACTTCATTAGGAGAATGATGTGATGGACTTGACCCATCCGTTAGCTTAGCATTATGATCGTGACAGTTTCATTGCTACTACTTTCTTCATGACTTATACATGTTCCTCAGACTATGAGATTATGCAACTCCCGAATACCGGAGGAACACTTTGTATGCTACCAAACCTCACAACGTAAATGGGTGATTATAAAGGTGCTCTACGGGTGTCTCTGAAGGTGTTTGTTGGGTTGACATAGATCAAGATTAGGATTTGTCACTCCGTGTTTCGGAGAGGTATCTCTGGACCCTCTCGGTAATGCTCATCACTATAAGCCTTGCAAGCATTGTAACTAATGAGTTAGTTGCGGGATGAAGTATTACGGAACGAGTAACGAGAATTACCGGTAACGAGACTGAACTAAGTATGATGATACCAACGATCAAATCCTGGGCAAGTAACATACCGATGACAAAGGGAACAACGCATGTTGTTATGCGGTTTGACCGATAAAGATCTTCGTAGAATATGTAGGAACCAATATGAGCATCTAGGTTCCGCTATTGATTATTGACTAGAGATGTGTCTCGGTCATGTCTACATAGTTCTCAAACCCGTAGGGTCCGCACGCTTAACGTTCGATGGCGATTGGTATTATGAGTTTATGTGATTTGATGTACCGAAGGTTGTTAGGAGTCCCGGATATGATCACGGACATGACGAGGAGTCTCGAAATGGTTGAGACATAAAGATTGATATATTGGACGGCTATATTCGGACACCGAAAGTGTTCCAGAGAAGTTTCGGATAAAACCGGGGTGTCGGAGGGTTACCGGAACCCCCTCGGGAACTAATGGGCCTTAGTGGGCCTGTAGGGGAGAGAGAGGGCCGCACTAGGAGGTGGCGCGCCCCCACCCCCAAGGGGAGTCCGAATAGTACAAGGGGAGGGGGCGCGACCCCTCTTTCCCTCTCCCTCTCCCTCTCCCTCTCCTTCCTTCTCCTCCTAGTTGGACTAGGAAAGGGGGGAAACCTACTCCTACTTGGAGTAGGACTCCCCCCCTTGGGCGCGCCCGTTGTGGCCGGCTGGCCTCCCCTCTCCTCCTTTATACACGGGGGAGGGGGACACCCCATAGACAGACAAGTTGATCTTTAGCCGTGTGCGGTGCCCCCCTCCACAGTTTTCCACCTCGGTCATATCGTTGTATTGCTTAGGCGAAGCCCTACACCGGTAAGTTCATCATCACTGTCACCACGCCATTGTGCTGACGAAACTCTCCCTCGGCCTTAGTTGGATCTAGAGTTCGAGGGACGTCACCGAGCTAAACATGTGCAGATCACGGAGGTGCCGTGCGTTTGGTACTTGATCGGTTGGATCGCGAAGACGTTCGACTACATCAACCGCGTTAACTAATGCTTCCACTTTCAATCTACGAGGGTACGTGGACACACTCTCCCCTCTCGTTGCTATGCATCTCCTAGATAGATCTTGCGTGATCGTAGGAATTTTTTTGAAATTACCGCGTTCCCCAACAAGCACACAAGACATTCCTCCGGTATCCGGGAGTTGCGTAATCTCATAGTCGAAGGAATATGTATTTGACATGAAGAAAGCAGTAGCAATAAAAACTGAACGATCAATATGCTATGCTAACCGGTGGGTCTTATCCATCACATCATTCTCCTAATGATGTGATCCCGTTTATCAAATGACAACACATGTCTATGGTTAGGAAACTTAACCATCTTTGATTAACGAGCTACCAGTAGAGGCTTACTAGGGACACGGTGTTTTGTCTATGTATCCATACATGTATCAAGTTTCCGGTTAGTACAATTCTAGCATGAATAATAAACATTTATCATGATATAAGTAAATATAAAATAACAACTTTATTATTGCCTCTAGGGCATATTTCCTTCAAGTGGTACGGGCGCGCCCTACTTGAGGCATTTGAGCCGTTTTCTTTTCTTTTTTATTTCTTTTCCTTTTGTTCTCCATTTTTCATTCTTTTTTGCACTTTGTTTCTTCGGTATTATTTTTCATTTTAATTTTTCATTTTTTTCATTTTGTTTCTTTTTTTTTTGGTTTTCATACTTCATATGTCGACAACATTTTCTAATACACGTCTAACATTTTCACAATACAAATTTAACATTTGTAATACATGGTCCACATTATTTCCATACACATTTTTTAACATTTTTAAAATGCTCGATTAACACTTTTCAGATAGAAGATTAACATTTTTTATATAGATGGTCAACATTTTATCTATAAACACTTTAACACTTTTCAAATGCTCGATTAAAATTTTTCAAATACATGAGCAACCTTTTTGTCTATTCACATTTAACATTTTTTATCAAATGCTTGATTCAAATTTATTAAATGCAATACTAACATTTTTTGAATGCATGGTATATTTTTAGTCACAATAAATATTTTTTAAATGAAAGATTAACATTTTTCAAATACTTATTCAATATTTTTTTTCAAATGCTTGATTAACATTTTTATATACACGATAAATTTTGTCCTTCATTTTTTTAATACAGGGTCAATATTTTTTATATACACATTTAACATTTTCCAAATGCTTGATTAACATTTTTGCAAATACTTGCTCAACATTTTTTCAAATGCTTGGTTAACTTTTTGATACACCTGATAAAAAAATCATCATTTTAATAGATGGTCAATGTATTTTATATACACTTTTGACATTTCCAAATGTTTGTTTAACATTTTTGAAATGCTTGATTAACAATTTGTATATACATGATGAAAAAATTTATCCTTTTTTATATGGTCAACATTTTTTCTATACGTCTAACATTTTCAAATACTTGATTAATATTTTTTAAATACTCGTTCCAATGTTTTTCAAATGCTTGATTAACATTTTTACGAATACATTATCAAATGTTTTATACATTTTTCGTATATGTGATAAACATTTAATCTGTACACATTTAATATTCTTTAAATGCTTGGTCAACATTTTTTAAATGTTTTGTATAGAGTGGTTTTTCTGATATATATATGTTTAGAATATTTAAAGTATAAACAAATGTAAAAAAACAAAGGAAAAAGTGAAAACACAAAACGTAAAAAGACAGAAAAAAAAGAGGCTGTAGCCTCCCGCGGGGCTGCGCCGGACCATCTGGAGCTGGCCCGACTCGAGGCTTCCCTCTGTCTCGCTTACAGCGGGACATAGAGGCGCCCAAGAGCTTCAGGCGAGACAAGAGGCGCCCAGGAGCCCCTTTACACTGGAGAGTTGAGAGGCCCACTTTTGTCCCGTTCTGTTCACCCCATTTCCGTTTTCCCTCCATCTCCAACAGCTAAACCCCCCGCTTCGTCTTCTCCGCTCGTCACACTCCCCGCCACCGTCTCCTCCCCACCGCACCCCACGGCCATGGCCGCCACCCCCACCCCCACACCCCTCCTCCTTCTCCTCGCCCTCGTCTTCCTCTTCGCCGCCCTCGCCGCGGCCCAGCCCCGCCCCTTCGGAGGTAACTCACTCACTAGCCTGGTAGCAGAATGGATCCCCGATTCGG